AATATTTCTCTTTTATAACAGTTAAAAATATTTTTAGATTATCATAGTTTATTATGATATTATTATATTATTATTATTATTATAATATTATTATTAATATTTAATTTATAATTGAATTTTTCAAGTTATTAATATCAATTTATTAAAAAAAAATTATTTTAAAGATTAAATAATTATATATGTATAATAATAGAAAATATTATATAATATAACGCATTTTATTACACAGACATTATTGTATATTTATTATTAAATATTGTATATTAGTATACATTAATAAATAAAATTTTCTGTACAGGTTGCCATGGTTGAAGTACAATTGAATTCCGATACAAAAGTACCTTCAGAGATGTTAATTGCCTTCGCCGTATGTACTACCTTGCTGGTCGCGGTTCATATGTTAGCTCTAATGATATCAACGTGTATCTTACCAAACATAGAAGCTGTATGCAATCTACATAGTATAAGTTTGGTACATGAATCACCACATGAACGTTTACATTGGTATATCGAAGTAGCATGGGCATTTTCCACTTTACTAGGACTTTTACTATTCTTACTAGAAATTGCTATACTTTGTTGGGTGAAGTTTTATGACTTTTCACAAGTGGCCGCTTGGTCCGCTTGTATCGTATTAATACCAGTACTAATAATTTTTCTTGCATTCGCGATACATTTTTATCGAAGTTTAGTAGCTCACAAATATGAAGTTACAGTATCTGGTATAAGGGAATTAGAGTTACTTAAAGAACAAATAGAATCAACTGATGTTGAGGGTAGGAATGGTGTGAATTTGTTACAAATCGCTGGTGTAACGCACGTAGTTTGAATATATAATGAGATATGATTTGTGTTACTTTTAAAATGTGATAATCTCTCATAATGGAGGATTGTGAATCTCTGATTATCTGCTCAGGCTGCAATATAAACTTATACATGTTATATATATTACAATGCAAGATAAAAACTAATTCGAAAAATTAGGGAAAATATCAAGAATAACTGTATATATAACAAATTTACATTAAATGTGATTTTTGAATCACATAAGAAAAGATTTAATACTTGAAAACGTAATAACTTTGAAAGAAAACAACTATTTCTTTCAATAGCAATGATGTATTCCTCCCTATATTTATCTACATAGTGATGAATTTTACACGTACTGAAAAATAATTTTTGATGAAAGAATGTGCATATGAAAGCCAAACATTCCTTTTTTCGCATAGCGACTTAATCTATCAAAATAACAGTATGCAGTAATATTTATCATATATGTTTCTTTAGCTATAACTCAAAAAGCAACAATCGCTAATATAAGTTTATATTTTTCGTTGACAATGCGTGACTAATTCGCGTTGAATGTACTTATTATCTCGTTATTTTTAAAAATATGCTTCCCGGTATTCACAGTTTTTACGATTTTGTTCGTTTAATTTATTATTTTATAATTTCATAAGACGTCCCATGCTCAAGTGACATTTCAAGTCTTTTACACGGAGACAAAATAATTTCCTGTTTTATTGTCTCTGTTGTATTTATACTTGATTGTCAAGTTACTGCCGTCGCTGAAAAAGTGGCAATTATATTGTACATACTTTTTGCGTACAAATGATTTATATATATATATATATATATATATATATATTGTTG